TCAGGTTGTTCTCTCCAGGTGAGATCCAGATGTCCAGGAGCTTACCAGCGTGTCCTTGGGTGTGTATTCTTCTCTCAGCTTGTAATAGGCAGCAGCGATGCAGTTCCTCCTGAGGGCGGAAGACAAAGCCAATCAGTCCACCCACTCACACTCCGGCCCTGCGCGGGTCCGAGCTCAGCCCCCTCTCCCCTGAGACCTCCGGCTCTGCCAGCCGCAGAGTTCCCTGCTGCTTCCTCGTCCTCCTCGACTGAGACAGAGGTCCTCATGCTTTCTGAAGCCCTGCCTTTATAGCTGTCAGTCGCATGGTTGAAAGGTGCAGAAAAGACCGTCTTCGCAGTGCAAACGCATTCACTTTCTGCTCCATCAGTACTATCTGACTAAGAACCTGCAACTTAGAAAAGCTGAAATGCATCAAACTGCAGTGCAATTGGAGTCTTATTTCCATCCCTGGAATGGAGAATCCCAGTGCATCTAGATTGCGGTTTCCCCAGGCCTGGTCTCTTGCCTCTCCCCCTCTCTCCCCGGCGTGCTGCCCGACTCACTTGCTGGTGATGCCCCCTCCAGGTGGCAGCCCTGGTATCCTCTCAGATGACATGTACTTCATCACGTACAGCAGGTCTGGCAGCCCTTCCTCGTGCTGCTCCTCGAAGATATCTGCGCACAGCGGGGACACAGAGGGCAGTCAGCGCCCCCAGTAGGCAATAATCCTAATGTGCACTAGCCTTGCCCAGAGTGTTTCCAGGCAGGAATTACAGTACAGTCATGTGAACTGGCGTGTGTGTGTTTAAGTGGTGTTCTGATAACAAGCTTTTCCTCTTTACCTTCATGCCTTGCAAACATCTCACCATGGGTATGAACGTTGGACCTAATAAGATAAGATCACTTTATTAGCCCTATACAATTTCTTGTATTAGGAATTTGTCTTTTCGCATACCCCAGCTTGCTCTCCATGAGACACACAGACAGACAGAGAAGCTTGGGGTCAGAGCGCAGGGTCAGCCATTGTACAGCGCCCCTGGAGCAGTTGGGGTTAAGGGCCTCGCTCAGGGGCCCAACAGAGTAGGATTCCTCTGCCGGCCGCAGGTGCAGATCCTTAGCCACAGTGCCACTGCTCCACCCTAAGTGAATGTTTAATATCTAATATATTTAATATCTAATATAATATCTTAACCCTGAGTGAAAGTTTTCCATCTGGGCTGAAGGAGCTGTCCTTCCACTGTGTGTGATTTCGTGATGGAGTTAATAAACACTCATGACACCCACAGACGTGGGTTCCCCTCTCTTACCTGCCACTCTGCTCTCCAGCAGCTCCTCCAGTTCCGCCTCGCGTTGCAGTGCCTCCGCTGACACCTGGGGGGCGCCAGGGAAGCAGATGAGCGTGATGCTGATATTGTCTTGGCTGCCCTGTAGCAGGAGGACACAGTGAGCAGAGTTACCGCAAGGAGCCGACTGCTTCAACCCTAGAGAATTAAGGCCCTTCACTTCCAGTTTTTATTGATTTAGTCATGCAGGGTGATGACTTTTTCACAAAGGAAGAGAAAGACTTGCAAGTGACTGTCACGGAAAAAGTCTTTACACAAAGGGTTGTGGAAGTATGGAACAAGCTATCAAATCATGATATTGAAGATGGTGCACTGGCTCCTTTCAGGAAATAGCTAGATGAGGTCCTCAGATCAGTTAGCTACTAATTAACAACCAAATGGGATAGACTGGCTCAACAGCCTCTTTTCATCTGTGGCCTGTCTTTAGGTTCTTAGGAAGCTCAAAGTTCTTTCTGCTCAAAGTGAGAGTGGGGTCAGCGTGAGTTCCGATATCAGCAGAATGAGACAAGGATTCCTCAAACTGCTGGCACAATAGGAAATGAGATTATTACTCTTCTCAAAACACATCAAGCCAGCCAGATACAGCGAGTCACTGATCATAGGAAAGAAATAAGAGTTTCTTTGGAATTGAATGGTTCACCAACAGCTGCAAGATTAAACACCAACATTTAACTGCCCTGAGCTGGAAGAGGTCATGCTGATGCATGGAAATGTTTTTTCAGATTTGTTCTGGACTTGATGATGTCAGTCAGCCTTAATCTCTTCCGATTTCGTTTGTCCTAAACACTAATTAAGTTAAAGGTTTACCTGGGTTTTGTGGAGGCACAAACCACCTAATTTAATTGATTATTAATTCACTGTTTAAAAACACTGTTAATCTGCCCCTGCCTGTAGATTCTGTAGATTCGATTAAAAAATCTTTTCTTTCTTTTTAAACTGACACCCTGCCCTTCTCGTCCTTGAGCAGTTCCGTGCTCTATGATGTTCAGGTCTTCCTTCCTGAAGCTTGTGTAGAGAGAACGGGGCAGATGGTGGCAGCACCTTTTCCAGTAAATTGCAGTTCTTCAAAGTAGCAGGAGTTCTCAAACTGAGAAACATTCTTTACCAGCCCAAGCTGGTTCTCGCAGCAGGCTGTCAATACAGGCAGAATGTCTTCTCAGAGAGGTGGGACCAGTATTTCAGATTCCAAGAGTTCACAAAGGGATTCAGGGTCACTGAGTACAGGAAGTCAGCTTGAAAAATGCTGTCTGAAGCCAAGGATCGATATTACAAAATAATCAAGGTGCCCTTTCTCCATTGAGAATATTTCAGCTGGTCTGTGGTGGGGCCAGTGGTTTTGTGTGTATTTTTTCCAGAGTTAGCTGGGCCATCCTCCCTGCTGTCCCACAGGCTTTTCCTTGGTCGTCATGTCTACCTGCATCTGATCTGCTGCTCCGCAAGCTGTGTGCTAGCAAATCCCTTTGAACTCTGGGAAACCGTCATTAATCCGAGCCACACGTAGACTCCCTTCGCTAATCTGCCGCCTTAGAGACAGAAATAGCCCCTCCAGATCGCTGGCCGGGCAGGATTTGGGTATTATTTGTTTGCAGTACTCTTCGAGAGACAGGCAATAGCAGTGATCGGGCTCATTCTTGGAAAAAGCAGCATTGCATTACTGCGCTGTCCTGCTTGAGGAACAGTTAACGAGAGGGACGTGGATCACAGTGCACTGGTTTAGCCTTATTGTCGCTGAGCTGTGATGATGTGTCTGTTATGTGTGCACTGTGACACCCCAGCTCTGAGGAACACACTACAGTCATTTATAATTCACTGCTTTCAGTGCCCTTCCTTACCCCAGTCTGAGGCAGACTGTCTCCGTCATGGAGATTAATGAGCCACTGAAGAGCCACATTAGTGACAGCGATTAGCCATGTCTACGTCTAAGGAAGTTAATGAGGCAACGCTGCAAATTAAGCAAAATATAAAAAAGAATATCATAAAAGACCATGCTTGGTTTTCCCCAGTAGCATACAGAAGGGGCTCCAGGGTTTTGTTGGTAACTGCTCTGCAGTTAAAGACAAGCAGCCTGTCGTTTTTCTCCCTGGTAACAGGAGAGAAGGCAAAGCAAATGTCTAGGCAACAGGAGGCTTTTCAGCCCATCTAGATCTTTCCTTGCAAGAAGCTAATTGATCTAAGGATCTCATCAAGAAAAAAGGAGTGGATCTACCGGGTAGCTTGTTCCAGAGGACCACAAACTTTTACGTACAGACAACTTTCTCTGCTGCGCTAATCTTTCTACACAGCAGGAAATCCAAGTGTGACACAGCTGGAAAGAAGTGTCAGGTGTGCCTGAGCTGAGGAACGTTCACAGTACCTGTCCGACTGGCAAGAGACTGTGGAATTAATAGGCTGTGAGCAGGGTTAGAGCCCACTGGTATCCAGTTGTGAAACTGAAAGCTTGTCTCCCTTGGGCAGTTATACATTGCTATCCTATTACCCAGCGGACATTTCCATACGTAAGTCTGAAAGGACTGCGCAAGTAGGTGTGAATTCTGCAGGCATGCATATTGCTTACCTCATGTGGGATTATGAATGCTTTCACTGCTGTGTGATTATAGAAAGTGCTGTGACTCGCCCAGCAGGCTGCCTCTTGTGTTGCGTAATTCCGCTGAGCTGAGATCTGTCATTGTGAACACAACATCTCAGGCATCACCCAAGAGAGCAGAACTGTGCTTCCAGAGAAATTCTCCCTTCAAAGTCTTTCTGGCCAAATGGTGTTTTCTCATTGCAGCTGTTTTAACTGTAAATCTGCAGCTAATCTGACCATGTGTGAAGCAGTTATCCCCATAGATCATAGTGCATGCAGGTCTGTATATTTGTAGAAAAAATGTAAACTACTGCAAATCATGAAAAATGCTTGATTGTTCCTGATGCAAATTATTTCCCAGAAATCCTCAGTTGAGTGTATTATTATCTACTAACTGGAACTGGAAATATGCAGCTCATTTTCATGTGTGCGTGCAATTCAATGTTTAACAGTTGTATTTGACGACAAAACCTTTCTGTAGTTCTAAAGTCTTGTCCCATCAAACAGACTTAAATCTAATAATTCTACAATGATGTCTCTGTATGCATTTGAAAACATGAAACAAGTGTTTCTGATACAGTTTCATTCACAATGACTTTAAAACACGCTGGAGTGTGAGAGCGGGGCAGTAACTGGTTCTGGTTCTGGTTCTGCCCGTCCCTGGGCCTGCGTCTGTGTTAACCCACGACGGTGACTTTCCTTGTGCTCCGGTGGCGGTGCTGGGGCGGGGACTGACCTTGTAGAGGCAGAGGTCGATGACCTGGCCGCACACGTACTTGAGGTCGCTGGACAGCTGCAGCCGGCTGCGCACGAAGGCGCACAGGTCCTCGTTGCCGATGGTGTCCCAGACGCCGTCGCAGGCCAGCACCAGGAACTCGTCCCGGCAGCTGCGCTCCACCTCGTACACCTCGGGCTCCGGCGACACCAGCTGCTCGGTGGGCGCCCTCCACTGCACCTCCTTGAAGTCGAAGTCGCCCAGCGCCCGCGAGACGGCCAGCGAACCGTTGACCCGCTGCAGGGTGACAGTGCCGCCTGCGTTCTGGATCCGCTCCCTCTCGCGCGGGTTGAAGGGCTTGTGGTCCTCGGTGTAGAAGCACACGGACCCGTCCCGACACAGCACGGCCCGCGAGTCCCCGCAGTTGATGAAGTAGACGTGCCGCGGCGAGATCATGGCGGCCACAGCGGTGGAGCCGCTGCGGTCCCAGCCCTCTCTGCGCCCCAGCCTGTGCATGTGCCTGTCGATGCTGAGGAAGCCCTCCCGGATGCCCTCCTTCACGGCCTCCTTGTCCTCGTCCGGAGTCACCGCGCCCGTGGCCAGGATGTGCTCCAGAAGGTGCCGGGAGCAGTACTGCGCCACCCTGCTGCCCGCGTGGCCGTCGTACACGGCGTAGAAGCCCCAGCCCGCCAGCTCCCCGGGCAGCTCGGGCACGCAGGCGTGCGCGTCCTCCATCTGGGCCCGCCAGCCCTGCACGCTGGCCAGGGCGAAGACGATGCCCCCCGCGGAAGCCCCCTCCTCCAGGTGTTTGTCCAGGATTGGCCTCTCCAGGTAAGGGCTGGGAAAAGCCTCCTCGTCCTCCTCCTCGTCTCTGTCCCCCACCACCCCTCCCTTGAAGAAGTACGACACCATCTTCTCCGTCTCCTTCACCAGCAGGCGTACAAAAGAGGTCATCTGGGGCATCTTCCGCTCCCAGTCCTCGCTGGGCACCCGCCTCGCCGCCAGCATGGCACCTGTCCCCCCTGCCAGTGCACTGTTCTTCCTCCTGGCCTGTGGCTGCTGCTGCTCTTCCTGTGTCCTCCTGCTCCTCTCTTCCTCCCTGCAGCACAGCAGTGGCTCTGCGCTCCCCGCGTCCTCTTCACCCACAGCTCCAGCTCGGAGCCGCCCGATTGGCCGGCCTATTTCTGTCCCCTGGGCTGTAGTCAGGCCTCTCCCACGCTCCCTCCCTCCGGTTTTGTTCCCGTTAATCCGCGGCCTGATTAATGAGCACAGATTAATGAGAGACTTTCCCATTTGCAGGTTAAAACATACGGTGTTCCATAATCGGCTAAAAATACTTCCCAAGAAGAGATGTGTTTTGTAATCTCCATTAGACCTGCTTGCATATGGGTCACTCTGCAGGGGCCTGGCCAGGGCTCGACTTCATACGGAACCGCACAGAACCAGCTGGCCCGCTCCAGGCAGATCAGGATGAGTGTGAAAGTGATTCAAATTGTTCTTGTACCACTGATCAGTTTAGGGTTACAGATGTCAGGTTATATTCACTAAGTAATGATTGCATATGGTATACTTTATAGAACTCAAATACTGGTGCCCCTCTGATTCGGGTAAAGTCTGCTCTAAATACTAAGATTCAGATTAACATCATTAATACAATTTTATTTTCCTGTTCCAATCAAAGAAGACTATGAGTTGAAGACAATGAGGGGAACTGATAAAAGGATTACAAATCCTCAGAGTCACCGACAGTCAACCCAGGGCACGTCTTAAGAACCAACCGTGAATCTTGAGACAGAAGACAGTAGTGAAAACTATGTAGAAGTGTATTTGAAACCAACAGCAGGAAGCACTTCTTTTCACAGAGGGTTGTGGGAGTATGGAACATCCTACCCAGCCATGTGGTTGAAGCCAGTACTTGGACTAAATTCAAGAAAACGCTGGATGAGATCATCAGATCAATTAACTATGAAAGGAGCTAGTGGGCCAGATAGGCTCCTGCCATCTTTGTTCTGGATTTCTGTTTTCTAGATTTTCCCTCACATTTGTGTCTAGACCCGTATCTATCTTAGTTGCCATGTGAATTCCCATTTTTCTCTGCATGTCGCTCCTTGAAAAGGCGAGCTGCGTGTTTCCATGCAACCACCAGAGGGCGCATTACACCCCAAAAATGACTGCACTCTACCGTCACAGCCACAGGCAGCACTGGAGTGTTCCGGGCTCTTACAGGGTGCATGCTTCTTCAGCATTCACATCATGTTTTTCTCAGGCATGGAGTTACCTTGTTTGTTATTATTTCTTGTTTAATGGGTGACGCGGTGGTGCAGTGGTTATCTTTGCTGTCTCACTGTGCTGGAGCCCTGGATTCAATTCTGAGAGTGCTATATCTTGTGTCTGCTGCTTGCCGGGATAGGCTTAGGGTCCCCTGAAGTCCTGAATTGGATGAAGTGGTTAGAAAATGAATGGAAGGATTATTACTAATGTATTTAAAATTACAATTGGACCCATTTATACAGCAGGGAATAGTCTGGAATAGTTCAGGTGAATAATGTTGCTCAGGGATACAACAGCGGTGTCTCATCTGGGATTTTAAGCCACAGCCTTCCAGTTACAAGTCTGTCACTCTGAGCTGTGTGAAAATACACAAGAAAATTGCTGCTCTACCTAATATTGTAAAGGCAAAAAAAATGAGTAGAGTGTTTTTTAATAAAAATCTGATATTTCAGTTTGTCACCACCCATCGTCGGAGATATTACTGCATTTGGCCTGTCACTTCATTGAACGTGCCCCTCATCTGATCTCTCAGATCTATAAAACCCTCCTGGTTCAGAGATCGTTTTCAAGCCACAGCAGGTACAGCACATTAGCACAAAACTGTAGTGTTTTGCCTTCCTTTAGTTTCCTGTGCTGATTGCTGTTGCAATATGTGCTCACCTCTGAGCTGGAGAAGACTGGCTTCCTCGCTGTAGGAGCAGAGGAGCTGCAGTGAGGTGGCGTCACACGCACACACGCGCACTCACACGCGCACACACGCGCACACGGCTCCTCTCTCTCCCGCACACACTCGCACTGCGCTGAGCCAGAGAGGGAGCCCCTACGGCCCTGCGATGAGGGGGGGAGGGGGAGAGTGAGACTGAGAGAGCGCATGGTGGAGAACACACAGCTCTCCAGAGCCAGGACCAAGGAGGAGGAGGGCGCCGAAGAGCAGAGGGACAGCGCTGCCTGCGACCGCAGCCGTGGAAGGACTCCAGTCTGAATGGGCCCAGACGGAGCCGGATGGAGCATGGGCCAGGTTTTAGGATTTGCCCACTGCAGTACGTATCCTTTGTCCTCCTCCACACCCTGTCGGCTGTGCTGTCTGTGCAGGTGGGCCGTCTCCCTCCGCCACTCTTTCTCTCTCCCTCAGCCCCGGATCGGCTCCCAGCCTCTTGTTTCTTTCTGTTCTGTGCTGTTTGTGTGATTGACTGAGCTCCTGTCATCTCTTTCTTACTGCGTGTGGCTCTGTGATGCCCTCTGTCTTCCAGCCTCCCAGCTGATTTTTTTTTGTCTTCAACCATCTAAGTCTGTAAGGGTACACCTCCTGTCTCTCCGCTTGAGGAGCGAGTGTGCGTGTTTCTGTGCACAGCGCTCAGCACAAACTGCATTATCTCGAACGGCACAACACATGATGCATCCCCCTGCCTGCGTTCCACAGCCTCAAGCCCACACCCTGCGGCTGGGTGCACAGGGACTAGGAGGTTCGCCTAGAGTCTGGATCACGGTTCTTGCTAAGCCAGCAGGCCCGGATCGAGGCAGAACTCCCTGTGAGGACCAACAGGTTTCCACAGGATAGAAGGCAGAAGCCACTAGGAGACTAAAGGTTTGACCGACCAATGCTGGATTTGGAATCCGGGACAGACCTGTAGCTTGTAGGTGTGACATGATCTGGGTCCCTCTCCCTCTGGAAAGCACTTCAGCACCTTCTGGATGAAAAAGGCATTACAAATCAGAGGAATTAATATTATTGCCATAAGAAGCAATCCAGCTAGAATCATGCATGAATAAACAAGGTGCTTTAGTTTAAACTGATACCAACAAGAATAAAGGCTACCAGGTGACCTGTAGGATCTGAGTTATACGCACCATTTCATCCTGGTTTTAAGCACCTACGCTGGCAAGCACCAGTTTCAGGCTGGTTCTCCTCTGTGCTGGACCAGGGTTCTGATTCTGATCACTTTGAATCCACGTTCATGGAGGCCTTATAGGAACCAGAGCTGTGGTCTGCAATTACCCAGAAGACTGGGTGGGTCTTCTGACTGGGTGACGGACTGGGTGCCTCCAGCAGCGCCCACAGAGGAGCTCTGGTACGTGGGCACGACCTGGGAGCTGCACTGGCACTGCAAACCTGTCTGCTTGAGCAGGAGCCTCATGCAGGTCCCCGGAGACCAGCTCACTGTGCTTCACTTTGCATTTCAAAGGGTGGCCTCCTGTCTGTCAAACCCTCTGCTATTGGCTGGGAGGCTGGCTTTTTGTCTCTTTGCTTTTGTCTGCGATAGTGTTGCTAACGTCCTCTTGGCTGTGAAATCACGCCGAGCACGAGCAGCCAAGCAGGCAGAAACAGCTTCCGTCTTCATTGGTGGTGTGAGTGAAGAGAAAAGTGATCTCGGAGCATCATTTTTGTTCATGTTGATTTTAGACGAAGCTCGGGGTAAATGAGTGTGAAATGTCTGACCTAATCCCCAGATCATCCTTTCTGTAATAAATTACTCTGAAGAAACCCTGAACCTCTTTTACAAACCAGTACAAATGGCCACAGCCCCTTTATTCTCTTGACTCCCAGATGTTCGCTGGACCTGATGACATAATCTTTCTCTTCTTTTTCTCTCTAATTGGTTGCAGAGGAATCTGGTTCTGTCTCCACGACGCCTGACTCCACCCCTCCCAGCACCGAGGGTAGGTCTCTTGAGAACGCTGCCCCCCAGTGGGCAGGGCAGGGGTGACTCGGGTCCGAGTGCCTGTCAGCATGTTTGATTGTTTGTCTCCGTTCAGCTGTTATTTGTATGAAACACTCCTGGTGCTGCATGTGCAACTTTGTTAAAGGAGAATAAAGTTAAAGAAATTAATAGTTTTCCATGATGACTTACATATTAATAAAATAACAAGAAACACTGCAAGGCTTATTGAATATTTAAACCCAGCTAGAAAGTGTAAAAATAACAGATAAAGGCTTATATTTTGGATGTCTATTTTTTTATGTTAACTGCACCATTACTTGTTTACACTTTTCATGAAGCTTGAACTGTGTGTCTTACAGGGCTCCTGAACTGTGTTATGTTCAGTGACAGTGAGCCCTGTTCCAGCCTCGGGCAGACCCCAGTCGGTGCCCCGGGTCCGAGCATGTAGACAGGCCTAGTACCGCTCTGGGCGCTCTGGGGCTTAACCAGCAGTCTGCAGGCCTGGACGTGAAGTGGAGATCTGCCAGTGAAGGAGAGCTGGTGCCGTCCGCTCACTCACGGGAGACTAGAGCCCAGGACACTGAGGCGCTGCTGCAGACTCCCGGCTCAAACGTTCCTCTCCCTCCCCTTCTCCAGGTGGGAACGAGGAGTCGGATTTCCCGGACCTGCACACGGCCCGAGAGTGGTCGGAGGATGAGGAGGAGGGGGAGGATGGCCAGGGGAGCCCCTCGGTGTGGGGGACGCCCCGACAGAGCTCCTACGAGCTCACCTTCTCTTACATTGCCTTCTCCGAGCCCGAGGGCGGCGGGACACGGCGGAGGCGCGGGCGGGCGGCCTCCGGGATGAGCCGCACGGACACGGTCGAGACGCTGCTCCCCGAATCTCCCCAGGCGGACACGTCCTTCCAGCAGTGGGACCCCGCTTTCTCTATGGGCACCGAGGAGGCGGAAGGTGGATGTTGTTGTCCTGCGGTTGGGCGGCAGGAGGCAGAACTGCCCCTCGTACCCCCGATGGAACTGAGACTGCAACCCAGCACAGCCACAGTCCTGCAGGGCGGCGCTCTGGTCCGACTGACCCAGGACTCCCAGGTCTCCGAGCCCTCAGTGGACAGTCTGACCCGAGACACCTGGGTCTCTGAGCCCTCAGTGGAAAGACTGGCCCAGGACACCTGGGACTCCAAGCCCTCAGCAGACAGACTGGCCCAGGACACCTGGGTCTCCGAGCCCTCAGCGGACAGCGAGAGGATGACCCCAGGGGACAGCAGCCCAGGTAACAGCCTCCAGGCTGCTTGTACCATCACTTCCTGTTCCTTTCCTGCTTTGACCATATGCTTCATATTGTCATAGAAAGCACCACAGAGCAAGTTAAAACTGCAGTAATCACATAAAAACTGAGGTCAGAACGTTGTGACCTTTCCCTCTTTAACAGCCTCAAGTCCCTTTCAATGCACCTGCCAAGCAGGCTGGGCCAAGCAGCCCTGGGTGTGAGCAGGTGTATGAAACCGGGCCAGGCTGTTCCGGAACCAGCGCCTTCCTGCACCTCCACCTGTAATCTAAACTGACTAGAACAGAGGAGGCCGAGCGTCAAGGACAGAGACCGAGGCCCTTTTCAAGACTGTGTTTTAAGTTGCCAGTCTTTATCACAGTGACAATGGAACCCGAGTCAGCGATCAGGACTGTTAAACAACACTGATTGCAAGTGGCTGTAGTTGCTTGGTGTAGAAAAAGCTCATGTCTCTATTCCAGTGGCAGAGGGGAGACCTCTTTACAGTGGTATCTCGTGGGCTTCTCGCCTTGTGGTTGATGGCAGGGTTCTGGCTGTTTAAGATCTCTGTTACAGTGCTGCAGTGTTCTCCCAGTGTTACTGGCTGGAGGGAGCTCTTTGGGATCCTCCTGTGATATTGCACCTGTCCTCCCCTACAGTAATCTAGAATCCCACACTGGTGCCACACTGGCCTGGACCATGTAAACAAGCTGTTAAGAGCATCGTCTTCCTTCAAAGCAACACTCTATAAGAATCATGCTTCATACTTTTGCTCTAGCATGAATCCTTAACTGCCTATTACTCTGAAAATCATTTGCTGGTGATCTGTTTTTTTTTACTAATCATATGGTTTCATTGGACATGGTCACCCCAGCTGTTGTCTCTTTCCACAGTGCTGCTGCACCCCAGCACGGACGCTGTGCTCTCGGGGGCGGGGAGTGTCGACATGTCATCTACCATTGGCCAGAGCACTCAGGAAGAGCCAAACAGCGAGCGGTGGTTCACAGCGTTTAGCCAATCAGAGGGTCACGTCCAGGTAGCAGGTATGGTCGCATCACCTTTTGTGTCCTCGTCATATCAGAATATCCAGATGTCTTCAAAAAGGGTGGATCCTCAGTGCACAAACCATGGTATTGACTAAAAAAATTCTCAAACACATATAATCTTAGCGCACTTGCCAATTAAATTATGCCTGGAACGTTGTTGAAGGTGCTGAATAGTAGCTCGATACAATTTAGGTGTCACTGGAAAGGAGGCAGTCATTAAAGTTCAGCACCCTAATGAATGTTTAAGATGAAGTACAGTGAGAGCGGACCTGTATGACACCAGGCTGCAAGCTTTCCTGCAGTCTGCTAATTGCACAAGGATGGAAGGAAATGGGGGTCTTCAGCTGTGGCTCCATGCTTGTGCAGATGTGGTGGCAGATGCCCACTGAGACACAGTGTGGCGCCGAGAGGAGTGGCTGTATCACAGGTCAACGAGCTGACGCAAGGCTCCCTGCCTTATAAAAGAGGTTTTGCAGAGATTAGATTGCAGCTATAGCAAACACTAAAATGTGATGCATTATAAATGCACTTACAAAGTGTTCTGAATTGCCAAGCTTAGCATTTCGTCTTGCATGGTGGAGTGCTGCATCATGCAGGAAGCAGGAAGCAGGAAGCAGGAAGCAGGAAGCAGGAAGCAGTGCAGGACAGGACACAATTAAATCGGTCGCCATGCAGGACGGGAGCACGAACAGGAGGAGTGGAGTGGAAGAGAGTGAGAGACGGGGAACAGGAGGCACTGTCCCGCTGGCACCACTGTCATCACAGAAGGTTGTTCCAGTGCCCCAGCTGTTCAGAGACATCTGCCACCGGCATCTATTTAAAGACTCAGCCAGCGGAGGCTGGGAGGACTGGACAGGACTGGTGTCCCCCTGTCCTGCTGTCCTGCTCAGCCCCAGGGGCGCAGCTCCGGCTTAAGGAGAGCTGCTTCTCCCTGTTCTTCCAGGCGAGCAATGATGGACGCCTTGAGAAAGAACACCTTGCTCTTCCTGTGGTTTGCTGGGCGCTGAAGTCAGGAGAGTCGCAGTTCAGTTTAGAATGAAGTCAGGTTCTAGTTCAGCTCAATGCTGACTGCTTTGCAGTTTGATGATTTACTTTCCTTTACTCCACTTTACACTTCACTAAGTGTTTAGATTGAAGTGATATCTAAACTCAGATTCGGGCTGTGATGTGTGTGGGATTCACACTGGGCTGGCTTATCTTATTCATCATGTGACTCGTCATGACAAGTGCTATATACAAGCATTTCATGTTTTAATTCTTTTATTCTACCAGATCTGGCTCAAACCACGTTTTATGAAAAAGTACCTCTTGTTTTTTTGTTTTAAATACACTTGCACATAGTTTCCACCTGTGCCCTCTGCTTTGTGTTTCACTGTTTATTCCAGAGTTTGTGGGCTGACCTTTTCAATGTCTTTGAGGATTTTTAATACTTTCATCAGGTCCCCTCAGTCTTCATTGCTCAAGAGTGAAGAGGTTCAATTCCTTCAGACTTCATATCTTTCAGTGAGGTTATTAATTAAAGCCCAGCAATGTACCTATATCTTTCTTTTCTGTTATGACTTGTGAGCAGTAGCATAATTTCTGTAACACGGTGACAAATCATAGTGTAACCCATACGGTCTCCATGGCTTGCGAGACATGAGCTGGCTCACCAGCGCAGTGACGTCACCGCCCTCCCCTGTGAATAGCAGGGCCTACAGCCGCTGGGCTGAGAGGAGATCTCTCGTTAGCTCAAGAGGCTGGGTCCCTGTTGGGTGATGCCGGAGGCCTGGGTTTGAGTCCCTGATGGTGGGGGGATGACCTGATGCGGCGGCGGCGAGGGCGCCTGCCTGAACCCCGAAACGTTACAATAGCATGCACGGTATTCTAAATGAGGACTTACCAGTGCATTATCCAATTTTAGCATAACATCCCTTGGTTACAGTTCTGTGCTTTTATCCTAACACTTTTTGCCTTTTTTGTTGCTTTCTCCTTCTGTCTAGATGAAAGATGAAAACAATGTGTTAACATAGACAGCAATGTTTTGTTCTTGGGCAGGCACTTAGAGCTTATATTTCCAGGGTGTAAAACTCTGCAGCTGTGTACATTAATCATCATGTGGCAGCTGATCTAGTCAAGATCTAAATATTTTGGATTTTCTTTCTTTTGCAGCTCCCACAGTGATTACTAATAATCCCGTGTTTATATCTTCTGCACACTTGACTAGATTCTTAACTACATTAGAATCTACGTATTTGTCTCTAGTCATGTGGTTTGGTTTTGTCATCCTTTTACGGATGGAAACAACAGTAGATGTTGTCCTGTAAGGGGTATTTTTCCTGTCTTGAGTGAATATTATTGTCTGGAATATAACTGTGGGAAAACAATCAGGTTAGGGAGCTCCTGTATCTTAGTTCAGTCAAGCACTACACTCCCATGCAGGTGTAGGATAAGCAGGCAGTGAGCTGAGGAAGCTCTAGCAGCTCTAGCTGTAAGGAGGCTATGGGAATGTGAGGACACATTCATCCTCCCAGCCCCCGAAAAGAAAGACTCAGGCTGCCTTTGGGAGCAGAGCCCTACTACCAATGTTCAAGTCCCAGGCCTGCAAGCAGTGCTGTCTCCATGGAAACCACCCCCGGGACTGAGGAAGGGCCCAATTAAGATCAGCTGAACCCCAGGAAACAGGGCGCTGTTTGCTCAGAGTCAGCGAGCCGCAGAGGCGACCAGAACTCCTGTTGCTGCTGCTGTCAGCTCCACACCCACAACCCCAGCAGCACAGAGAAGACAGCACCTACAGCAGAGGGGTGGGGCTGTGTTGTCCACTAGTGCCTTCCTAGTGTCACAGACGCCAACGTCTCCTTTTCTTCATGGACAGCTGAATCTCAGCAAGGAAACACAGGTTCAGATGCAGAAAGCTTTGAGTATCAAGACAAGTAGTTTAGATACAACAGTTTTGCCACCATAGGAGAAGTAGAGCAGAAGCAAACACCTCTACATTCAGGACAATAGCTTGGTGCACTAAACAGCCTGGTGCAGACTGTTTATACTGGGTATAAATACATCAATAAAAATCTGTGTGCTGTTATCAGTCCTGAACGGGGCTGAGAGATTTTGGGCCCAGTTTTATTTATATCACATTCTTTCTAGTGTTTTTTCACAAGCATTTTTGTTCCTTTGGAATAAAAGAGTAGAGAAATATTGTGGAGCTGTTTTCTGGATATAGAAGATGTGGTGACAGAGACACGTCTCACTTCGAGACGCCGAGGAGTAGCTGGTGTCCAGCGCTGCTTGTGGCCGTAGCTGCCTGCAGTGTGCACAGCAGGTGCTGCTAGCCTGCAGCTTCCCAGTGAGCAGGGGGAGGGAGGAGATCTGATTGCAGGACAGAAGGGAGCCTGGGGACGGGGAGGGGGAGAGCGAGAGCTCTTGTGTTACAGGTGTGGGCGTCTGGCCACAGGCAGGCCCCCCCTCGACATGCTCCCCCCGGCCACGAGCGTGCGAGAGAGCGCACAGGAGCTCTCGTGCCATTGGCCAGTTAAAATTAGGCAGGTCAGCCTTTTCGTGCTGACCAGGCAGCAGAGGCCAAAAAAAGTGCAGAGGGGGAGACAGGAGAGCCGCGAGGAAGCACAGAGGACCAGCTAGAATGGCCAGCAAAGGTGAGCCGTTCCTGTGTTTGAGCAACTGGACAATTTGTGTAGCCTTGTTGTGTACCAGAGCGGGGCGGGACTTTCAGATCTCAAGCTATTTGGCACGTTCCTTCACAGTTACGAGGTTTGTTTGTGGCGGACTGACTGGAGACCGTTCGCACAGGGAAGTGTAGCTGCTCGTGCTGCACAGACACCAGCAGGTAACCATGACTTCAGCCCAGGGCACCTGGCACCTGGAGGGCCGTTTGGAAAGGCTTGGAAGTCAGTTTTCATGAACATCTGAAGAAGGTGTTGGCAGATGTTGAAGTCTGTGTCTGCATGAACATCTAGATTCTCGGTGTGCTCAGAGGATCATCGATCTGTCTGTCTGGAAGATCAGTGCATCTCAAGAACAGGAAACTGCCTGTCGCCTGGACCTGCTTGTCTGGTGATGGGACTGAACATGCTGAAACAGAGCACTGCCAGTCTGATCCACCAAAACAATGAGAGAGAAATAATGAATTCCCATTCCCCATTTGTTACCGTCAGTTTCCCCTGCTCTTAGGGGTTGAACAGGCTGGGAGTGTGCGCTGGGATCTGATTCGTTGGTACAATGTGGAGCCCAGGCTGTTACCTTGGCCCTGGACTCTTGTGGGGAAACCCAGGGCACAGACACACACGGCTGGGCAGCATGTTGCCATGTTTCCTTGTTATAAGAGCTGTCTGCTCTCAGAGCAGCAGTGCTTCATTAATGCTGCAGCTCAGGATTTATTTATGGGAGGTTGAATATGAGCCCCTGAGTCATTAGCTGGGTAGGCTCAGGCTTCAGGCTGCATCTTATTCAGTGAGAAAACAGCTCCACTGACGTCCTTCACTGACGTGTACTCTGTTCAGCTCAGGTTATTTGTCATATGCACAGGTGCAATGGAACACCTGAAGAAGGCTCCACGGCCGAAACGTTGTGTTTTCTTTCTTCTCTTTTCAGCAGGGAATAAACCTTTACTTGTTCCAGTGCAATAAAATGCTTATTTGCATGTGTGCTCCAATGACAAAGACATTGGAATCACCAAAAAACATAAACACAGAACAGCAGCAACAACATCAAGTTAAACATACATACAACTTAAAATAACGTCAGACAAGCAGTGGGCAGATAAGCAACACATCGTCCTTCTAAATTTACAAAATATTACAAAGGGCAGTATTGGTTGTTTTAAATTATTGTTCTTGTAAGGGAGAAGATGCCAGGGTATTTTTAATCTGATGCAGTGTGCTGTAACAAGAGGAGTCTCTTTAAGAAGGAATACATTTCTCTCATGATGTGAAACTTTCTATATCCGCAATACAGGCAGAAGGCAAATGGTTGGATCTAAGTCATCAAATTAAACTGATTTTCAGATAGAGATGATGAAAATGTGGTTAGGTTATAAAGAATTGTGGGACATGTAGTGCGAAAGCACACTGCCTTCATTACTGCACTCCTGCTGGAATTCTTCACCGCAGCTCCAGCCTGCAGCAGACGCCCCCAGGACTGAAACTGAAGAGAAATTAGCAAGAACATTGACTTCTTTAGAGACGTGTAAGAACTAAACAAGGAGAAGACTAACAGACCTAACAACACGTTTTCACTCAAGGAGTGCTCCTGAATTAGAAGGGACACCAAACAATCCTGTCAGTAGATGTGAGTCTTCGCAGGTGTTCAGTAAGTGGGGACACTTATGCGAGGGCATATTAGAGGAGCAGTCCTAGCTCTGTGATGTGTGGCCAGTAAAGAGATCGGTCCCACTTCCTCATTCAGGCTGCTTCTTACTCATTCAATGGCCACTTCAGACACCAGGTCTGTCGGAGCCAGGCGGTTCTGTCAAGACTGGTACTTGCATAACAGTAGTGTGTCTCTATTACTGCAGCAACGTGAAAAGAAAGGCCTTAAGATCAGCAGGCTCCCATATACTGTCAATCCTGCTGTGCAGCAGTTTGATCTGCTTAGGTTTTCCTAGCTGTAGACTCTTGAATATTAATACCGGTGATGTAGAAAAGCCTACATCTTCCTATATACAGTACCTGCCACCTCTGTCACATCCCTCTCTGGACATTCAGGCACAGATGAGAATAAGAAATGAAATGTCAGGCAGCAGAAGCACTTCAGAAGCCTGGGCTGGCTCAGACAGCTATGGGATGGGAGTCTTGATGTGGTCCCTGGGTGCCTGCAGTGTGAGGAAAGGGCGGAGGGCGCTGGATGAGCTCTGGAAGCAGGTGCTCCAGAAGGCAGACAAGAGCGTCTCTCTTCTATGACGCCCTTGTACAGCCCCCTCCTTCGCTGCCCTGCCATCCAAGCCTGCTCTGGCTAAATTTAGGACAGTCCGAATTCTCCCTGCTCCCTACCCAGCAGCCTCGGGGCTGGCTTGGCTGCACTAAAGTAGCCTTTGCATTTCACAGGCCCTGTCCTGCTTTCTGTCCTCAAGTGTCTTCGTGATGAGATCCCGCCATCCAATCTCTCTCCAGTCACACGCCCTGCTCTCTTCCCTCCACCTTGATCTCTCACTTCCTGCTCCTCAGCCCTTCCCTTGCTTCTCTGATGCAGGAGGCTGGGAGCAGACTGAGAAAGGCGCTGTGGGAGTCTGGAGCGGATTGCTTCAGATCAGTAACGAACTAGCACCCAAACGAGCAAGAAGAGATGAAAGCCCCCCTTTCAATTATCGTCCATTTTCCCTGTAGTGATAATTTATGAAGTGCCGCTAGGAAAAAATCACAAATGGCGCACAAGTTGTAAAACGTAGGAAAAACACAACACAGACCTGAAGGTAAAGACCAGATTAAAACAATGGGTTTCTAAAACAGATGGGAATTCTTGTAGTGTGTCAGTCCTAGCCAGTGGGGCACTACAGCTGATGATTTTGTCCAAAGCGACTGGCGTTTTAACCTGTTAATACAGCTGGGTGTTTCAGTGCCGGGACAGAGGTGCGGAGCCTTGCTTAAGGAGGTGTCTCAGTTCTTTAGCACTGGGTTCTCAGGTAGCGTAGGAGATCACGGTGTGGACCTCCAGTCCAAAGGAGTAAACCTAGGAGCTTCACCTTTCAGCACCTCTCAGCAGAACCCTGTAAGTTGTCTTCTGTATTCTGCAAGCCAATATGAAGAAGCTAGAGCAGCTGCTACTGGCTCACAGAAGCCAGGCCTTGAGATTCTCTAGCGTGAGAACCTCACCCTGTATCAGCTATACAGTCAGGCATCGATGGCATAACTCCTCAATGAGACATGAACAAGCTTTCCAGTGTTGGTTACAGAAAGCAGCACTCTTAACCTCCTGTCCGCTCCCCCTCGTTCTCTCCTCTCTGTCCCTCCAGCAGTGTCGGAGCTGATCTACTGGAAGGATGCCCAGCGCACGGGCGTGGTGTTCACCGGGCTGGTGGTCAGCCTGATCGCCCTGTCTCAGCTCAGCATCATCAGCGTGGGCTCCAACCTGGCCTTCGCTGTGCTCTGCGTCACCATCACCCTGCGCCTCTACTACAAGACGCTGCAGGCCCTCCACAAGTCTGACGGGGCCAACCCCTTCCAGTGAGTCCCCCCCCAGAGGGGCCAGTCTCCGCCAGCGACATCCTCATTGCTGCTTTTAAACAGATCAGGACTTACGTGCACGTTTCCCCATTTGTTGTTGACTCTCAGACTGATTTTGCAAGAGCTATGTTCCAGCGGCGCTCTTTCCTGGGGCGCTCTTTCCTGGGGCGCTCTTTCCTGGGGCGTGCTTGTATGGCTCCCGGCCTGCTGCTGGTGTGAAGCTGTGCCAGGCGCTGTCCAGAGAGACGCCTGAGCTGCTGCAGTACTGCACCCTGCAGCGCCTGGGCTGAGCACTCGGTCTCTGTGTGGTTCTGGTTCCAGAAAGAAATGAATTTTAATGCTTGAATTTTGTGTGCTGTAGCCCTCCAGAGCACTTAATATAGAGTGCTTAATATACTGTAAGCTGTCATTGGTAGTGTAATTCATTTCAGACATATCAGCCTGACCTTTCATGCAATGGGCTGCTCCATGCTTATACTTTTCTATGTCAGTTGGGACTTTATTTAATTGCAGTATTTGGCTTTGGATTTTTTTCTATAATGCTTTTCTGCAAAGTGACACATTTTTGCACCCATCTCTACAGCTGGGTATTTCAGTAAGTTAGTACCTTGCTCAAGGGGCGTCTCTGTGTGCGCAGGTGGTACCTGGACTACGACATCAGCGTGTCCAAGGAGCTGACCCAGCGCTGTATGGACCGGGTCGTGCTCATGGCCACCACTGCTGCCACGGAGCTGCGCAGGCTATTCCTGGTGGACAACTTCCTCGACTCCTTCAAGGTGCGCAGCCACATTCCTCCACCTGCTTCTCTGGGTGCCTCTCCTCTCCTTCTCATCTCCTTTTCCTCTTTCTCTTCCTTCCCTTCTCTCACTCCTTTTCCTGTTCCTCCTCTCCACCTGCCCTCTCCTCTTGCCTTTCTCCCTCTCTCTTCCTGCCTGTTGAATTTCTGATGCAAGAAAAACACTGCTGCTCAGAGAAGGGAGTGTCCGACACTGACATGCTGTAGAAACTGAGTCTCTTTAGTCTCCATGGATTGTCCCACACTGACATGCTGGAGGAACTGAGTCTCTTTAGTCCGAAGGGAGTGCCCCACACTGACAGGCTGGAGGAACTGAGTCTCTTTAGTCTGAAGGGAGTGCCCCACACTGACAGGCTGGAGGAACTGAGTGTTTTGTTCTTGAACAGAGATGAGGGCTATGAGGGGATCTGATACAATTATTCAAAACCCTTAAAGGTATCCCTGTGGATTTAATCAGTTTTACTGATTGTGAATTAAAGTACACAAGTAGGGAAACAAATGTATATTTTAAATTGAGAACAGGAGGGGCTTTCGTACAAAAAGGCTTGCAGTTTAGAAAAACGCCCAGCTCAGTCAGCTACTAGCATCCAAACTAAAACATTTATGAAGGTGAAGAGGCCATTTGGTACATTTAAGTAATCATCATGTATTCCCTAGCTGAGGAAAAGTGCCTCTCCCTGTGTTCCTACAGGTCTCTCCATCTCTCGGCTCCCACTCCCCCTCCCTCTCTCCTGCTCTCTCATTCAGCCCCACTCCCTGCCCTGTGGACAGGACCTGGGAGAGTCTCATGCCATCATCACCTTGGTCAACTGGAGCATCTTCTATCACTGCAGTATAACAGCTGCCAGAAGAAATCAAGGTGTCCATGTCGCACTTCAGTGTGACAGCTCAAGCTGCTTCTTCCCTCCCAAAACTGGCCGACACTCCTGCAGTATTCCTGTGTTTCCTACAAGGTTCCCAGCAAAGGGCAATGCTTGGAAATTTGGCCACAAACACTGTCTTTATCTTCTAGTTTGAACAGGCGCCTAAATTCATTGAATTCATTTTCTTCATGTTGTGTGTCCTCAGTTCGCACTGCTGATGTACCTGCTGACCTACATCGGAGCTGTCTTCAATGGCCTTACTCTCCTCATCATGGGTGAGACACTGTCGCCCCCTGGGGGCATCTGCCTGCCTGCACTCATGTTGCTGTGGTCAGCGGGTTTTTATAAGACCCTGAGAGACGCACAGCTCACTGGCAACAGGAGGCTCTCCAGTCCATCTCTGTCCGTCTGCTCAGTGGAACAGGAGCCGCTCAGCGCTGCCCCTAGTGCTCGAGGATGCAGAGATTGTGCCTCTGCTGCCGTGCTGGAGTTCTGGGGTTATTTAAATTAGTTTCCTGAATTAATTAATGAAAGACTTT